GGTCTTAGTTGGCGGTGGTATTGGTGTCACACCATTCGCATCCATTCTCAAAGACATCGCCTTTAACTCTGGACTCAATAAGAATATCGTTTGCAAAAAAGTAGCACTTATTGCACCAAATGTTGCAAACGTTTTCATTTCCTCATACATTTGCATACATTTTTAGGTATACTTTCTTTGGGTGACGAGAACTCAGAAGCATTTCGAGTGGTTATCGGACGTGATTAGAGACACGGAGGAGAAAGATGTGTCCAATCTATTGACAACTCATATATTCATTACACAGTTTTACGAGAAGTTTGATTTGAGGACAACTATGCTGGTATGTGAATAATAAAGTGATTACACAAAAAAGTTTGTACAAAAAAGTGCACAAAAATCTGATTCATTTGCTGATAACATTTACTGCTTTGGCCCAATTAATCGCGATATTTGTTTAGCTAATGTTTGTGTTTTGTTTTGTCAGTACATATGTGAGCGACACTTCCAGAGGATATCTAATAGAAGTTTATTCACTGGACTCAAAGCCAAGACACATTTCGGGAGACCTAATTTCACTGTATTTCTCGATTCATTGCAACAGGAACACCCAAATNTGTTTTGTTTTGTCAGTACATATGTGAGCGACACTTCCAGAGGATATCTAATAGAAGTTTATTCACTGGACTCAAAGCCAAGACACATTTCGGGAGACCTAATTTCACTGTATTTCTCGATTCATTGCAACAGGAACACCCAAATGTAGTCATTTGACTATGTTTTGCGAAATAGTAAAATTAAATATGATTTATATATATGACTTGTAGGTGACCCGGGTGGGTGTGTTCAGCTGCGGGCCGGGACCCATGACTAACAACGTTCAACAGGCGTGTGAGATGTTGAACAGAAGGGAAGGGGCGATATTCTCACACCATTTCGAGAACTTTTAACTCACTCTCAGTTTATTACTCGTGATATAATTGTTAGAAAAGTTATTCTTAAACATATCGTACGGTTATATAAAAGTACTTCTGGTTACACACAAATCTCATGATTTTTAGCATTGCCTTTCGATGACTTATGCCTTGAAATTACAAGTATTTTTCATTGGAATCAAATGTAATGTTTATTTAACTCTTATGTATGACTTCACAATAGCAAATAGCAAATAACAATATAAATTATGAAATTAAGGCCTCAAATGACGCTAATTTTGTAATCAATATTTAAAATAACACTAAAATCACAGAATTTACTTATAAAAAAAACTAAAATCAAACTATAAATGGAAATAATTAAAATAAACTGAAAGAAATAAAAAAAATGCATAATATTTTTACATAACTAATGAAATCTAATGGAAAACAAAAGTTATATCGATTACAGTATATTATATGAGAATTGAGTATTTGATGCGAAAAATAATTACTAATTGACATGAAATGATGGATTAAAATAATTCTTACGATTGTTTCGCGGATTTCCTACAATAGGACTGAAAGTAAAACTTAATGAACATATAGAAGAAAAGTATGGACTGAGAGTAGGCCATCCAGAAGGCGAAGGACGGGTAGCCCACGTGCAGGAACTTGACGAGAGTTCCGTAGATACCAAAGGCACAGAACTGGAGTAACTGTAGTTGTGTTATATACCGCTTCCACCAGAGATAGGGGTGAAGGGAGGGCCCCAAAGCCGACAGGGCGTAGTACGAGTACATCACCACATGCACGAAGCTGTTGAGGAAGGCGAACAGTGTGATGGACGGCACGTTGAACCGGTACCAGATGGTCATCCACCCCAGTATGGGCACCACCGTGTGGTGGTAGAGGTGAAGGGTCGTGATCTGCGAGTACTTCTTGCGCAACACGAAGAACACGGTGTCCAAGAGGTCCACGTATTTGGTGATGTAGTACAGGTAGAAGGACCAGATCTGGTGCTGAATGGGCAGCGAGTAGTCGTCTTTGGCCGGGAATCGGAAGTCCAGAAGAGCTGATCCGTATTTAATCCATTGCAGGGATTGCATGAAGAAGTAGGCGTTTGCGACGACCATTAGGCTGTTGTAGACGAGCAGAAGTGACCGCAACTCAAAGGGCTGTCTATTCTTCATGAAATTGGGGCCAATCTTCTTGACGAAGATGTAATAACTGGTCATAATTGTCAACATAAGCCACGGGCCGTCCCGTATGAGCGGGTAGTCGGCCGTCCGGTGGTCACCCATTTCGCGCCAGTAGTCAAACAGATAGTAATTGAGGCCATTGTTGGAGATTTGTGTGGATGTGTTGGTGGATGTCATCTCTCCGGTGATGGATGTCTTTGAATAGACCTCTTATCGGAGATAATTATGTATTAATTGTTAGTTTGAAAAGCACTTGAGATGTGAAAAGTACTCTCAGAGTGT